ATCTTTTTCTGTTCAGGGCTCAAGCCATGCGGTCCTGTCCACCATTAAAACCATCTTTCCAAGCAGCCTCCATGTCTCCAGTGTCTTTTTCCCCACTTGGAGCCGAATCCAGAAGGACATTTCTTTCATCATCTGGAAGGCCCTGAAGATGTGCTGCTGTCCGTGCATTAGAGACCTCAAGTTGATTTACGTAGACCTGATCAAAAAGCTTATGTGATTGTCTATTTCCCGTGGCTAGGGGGGAGGTAGGGGTTTATGGGTTCTTACATTGTGAAATTTCAGTGTTGTAAGATGTCCAGAGTCACTGTGTGTGAGTTGGGCAACCATGTAAATTTATTCAGTAAATACATACAAATATTCATGTATATTACAAATGTACACTATACATTTTAATATTTTAAACATGTAATATTTTAAATATTAAATGTTTATTGAACAACCTTATCGTACAACCTGTTTATCATGTTTTCATATGGTATTGTAACTGAGCACAATATCTAACAGAATCTGTTGTTGCCTGGATATTTGATCATTTTTAAGCTACATACATTCAGATCCATTTTTATAAGGGAATGCATGTTTTGATTTTATATTAGGAAAGAGATTTTAAAAATTAGAGTTCCCAAAGAACTAATACAATTTTCATTATTTTTTTTTCAAAGCTTTGTTGCAAAGCTGAGAAGTTACCATTCTCTTAACAATCTTGGCCCTTGTGACTAACAGCGACATAATTTATCACACACATTAGCAGTGATATTAACACTTACCTCCATGTAATTGATAATTTTATTGTCGATTTGGGTAAATCAAGAAACTGCTAAATATTTTTGTTAGATATAATACCAGAAAGGCATGATAAAGAGCAGAGGGGGGTTGCTCCCCAGTTTGGCCCGGATTGGATGAACCGGTAGTGGTGGTCGCAGCGGCAGGAGGCTCCACCCACCCGCCTGGACACTTCTGCGCATGTGCAGAAGCAGAAGCGTCGCACGAGCGCACATGAGCTAACCGGTAGTAAAAAGAAATAGAAACCCAACACTGATAAAGGGACTATATACTTAATGCTACCATGTATTGATGGCAGTGAGAATTGCATTTGCACAATATTGGAAATATGAGAACACATCACCAGATAAAAACATAATTCAGAAAATATTAAATTGTGCAGAGATGGATAGACTGACATTGAAAATGAAAAATAAAGGAGATATAGAGTACTATTCAACTGGAATAGGTTTTCATCAATGGTTAGAGATAAGAGGTAGAAATTAGATGAAGAAAGATTATTGTTATATGTAAATAAAATATGAATGTTTATAATTATAAGTATGTTAGTACAATTAATATCATAAATAAGCTAATATAATTATAAATATGGTTGTAATTATTATGTGTATAATCATCATTACTAACAGTATATCTGTTATTTTTTCCTTCTTTTGTAAAATCAAATGCCCGGACAAATACACTGTCTTCAAAATATAAATTAAAATTTTGACTTTAAAAAAAAACTGCTAAATGTAATCACAGAAAGTTTAATTTTTTCAGATCCTTTGTCAATGCCTGCCATCTGATGGCCATGCCGTTGCTGATAATTACAGGACTTTAAAACTTGGAACGAAAATCCTTTTTCTCTTGCATTTTCCTCTCTTTTCTGCATAGCACTGCCTGTGCTCTAAGTTACGTCAAGGATTCCAAGATATCTAATTCATTTACTTTAGATTCCTTTCAAAACTCCAAGCTGTCTTTATAGATTTTTATTCACTGAATTAAACATCAAAGGATAAAGCCTTTTTAAGGCCACCAAATCAATAGCACTGTATCTTCAATCCTTCAGAATTCTCCCATGGTTTTTTTTCTGATTAAAACAACCTGTCTCTTCATTTATTCAAACACTTTTCAAACATCTTACTTGTTGTTCGTAATAATAGCACAACGTTAACTTCCTCACTACCTCTGTAATAGCCCTTTGAAGGGAAAAGGCACTAACCTCAGCAGAAATCAACGACATTTCAGGCTCAGTCCATGTTTATAGGTGGCAAACCTATACGTAAAACTCAAATGCAGTTAAGTACAGGAGGTATGAATTCGACTTGATTTGCCCATGCACAACTACAGGCACAATTTGAAAAGGGTGCGAAACATGTAAGAGGGAGTAGGAATGAATCTGAAATAAAATTATGCAAATATGACAAACGTGTAAACACAAGAATTTATAACTTGCTGCTAAAATATGATACAGAGCAAGTTACAGAACAGTGGTGGGATTCAGTCAGTTCGCACCTATTTGGGAGAACCGGTTGGTAACTTTCTAAGTAGTTCAGAGAATCGGTTGTTGGAAGAAGCCTCCTTTTGTTTTTTCCCCACTTTACAGGGGTNTTTAAAGCGGTTTGTAATTATTTTTTATTTAATATGAAGTTCCCTGGATGGTATTTTGTTTATATGATACAATTACATTAAGACTTTGTGAGGTCCTTCTATTGGAATTGTTCTCCTTTAATAAACATTCACATTTTGAAGAAAAATTTGTACCCTTGTGAAATGTCTTTATTTCTCCCACTATTAAACCGACACCAAGAGTGGCAGACAAATACATATTTAAGTTATCTCTACTATCTGCTTAAATCCCCGAGCTGATGACCAGACTGATATTTGCAAGACGATGATCTCCAAAGGTTTGAGGACACAACTCAGAGGGCAGACACAGTAAGATTTGCTATCTGTAACAGTTTGGAACAAATATGTTAAGCTGATCTATTCGAAAAAGATTAGAAAGGATTCAGATTTTAACAGAGACAAAGGGTAATGTTTCCTGGCACGGTCTGGTCATTGCAGTGGAGTATCTGAAGGTTACATTTTATGTTTATTAGCATCATCCAGATGGCACTTTATGTCCTTAATAACTTTGTCCCTGACTAAGCCATGAACCTACTGTTTGACAAGCAGTAGAGAAAATATCCACCTGCTGTAAAAGGTGATTCCTAATGGCAGCTTGAAACCATTTCCTTTAAGGTGCTGACCCTTGTCTCACTTCATTATTTCTGCAGCAGAGAAGCTTCAGCAGCTAGGAGGACATTTCCTTCGGCTTGGCTGCCACCTCTCCACCCACCTCCTGCAAAAGGCTTTGATTTAAAGCTTTCTGAAAAGCATGTGTAAACAGGTCACGGAGCAGTCAAAGCCACCTAGTACTATGAAGAAGAGTGAGGAAGGATATGCCAGTCAAGAGAGAAACCAGAAAGATGGGAACACCAAAAAAAGCTCTAACGATTTTATAATCATAGAAGAGAATTATCAGCTGTGAAAGACAGCTAATTTCACCAGCTGTACTGGATTCTTTGCACTAGTAACAGTGAACATAGCTGAAATCTTGGATGCTTGAGTGTAGGTCATTTTAACAGTCCTGGTTTCATAAATTATAATAAAAATGCCGTTTATTAATCCATAGATGACCACGAGGTGTGCATTTTTCTCCTTGTGCCTCGCTTTATAGCAATAGCAGTTAGACTTATATACCGCTTCATAGGGCTCTCAGCCCTCTCTAAGCAGTTTACAGAGTCAGCATATCGCCCCCACAGTCTGGG